GGCTATCAATTATGAATCCACAACCAAACTGAAATAAAAGCAGGGGAAAAGTTTTTTGTTTTACAAACAGATAGTGACACGGTCACATGCTGAACGTGATCTATCAAAGAAAATGACCATGTGCATATGCTGCCAGTGTATGTTTTATTCACACGTGTTGTTATGGCACAACCATATCATAATATTAAGTCTTCTCTATTAACAGAAGCATTCATTAACTTATGTTCTTACCAGTGTTTAAGGTCCTCACCAAGAAGATATTCCTCCCATGGGTAAGATGAACAGTGTGATTCATTGATACAACTATTGACCCCAGGTTAACCGGGGCATATTTTAAACAAGAACTTCCATGGGAGAGCAAATTACCCGTCCCTGCAACTGATAGCCAGGCCTCCAGCAATGACCTAAAACTCAGAAGCAGCAGATGCCTCGTGTCAAATTACGTCAGTTTAGCATTTCTATAAAACCAAGTATAATATCTATCATTTTGAAGAACTGCTTGCAGCAAATAAATACATTTTGGAACATCATGATCAGATCTTACTTTTATTTGGGTCTTACATGGTTGCTCTAACAGCATCCTGGATCGACTACTGCAATGCTCTTTATATGGGGCTGCCCCTGAAGACCACTCGGAGGCTTCATCTGGTGCAGAATGCAGCCGCATGGGTAGAATGTGAGGGCAGAATGCGGCCGCGCGGGTAGTAATGGGAGTGTCCCAACACTCTCATGTTACACCTCTCCTACGGGACCTGCATTGGCTACCGGTTGTCCTCCGGGTGAGATTCAAGGTGCTGGTAATTACCTATAAAGCCCTACATGGCTTAGGCCCGGGGTATTTGGCGGACCATCTGCGACCAGCGACAGCTCCCCATCACCCAGTGCGTTCTCACAGGGAGGGCCTCCTTGGGGTGCTGTCAGCCAGACAATGTCGGCTGGCAACCCCTAGGGAGCGGGCCTTCTCTGTGGGCGCACCTACCCTGTGGAATCAGCTCCCCCTGGAGCTCCGGGTGGCCCCTAATCTTCGCTCTTTCTGCCATGACCTTAAAACATGGTTATTTCGCCTGGCTGGTTTGGACTGAAGGGGTTTTAAAGGGGATTTTAATGGTCTTTTTATAATCTTATTGGGTATTTTTAACATTGATTTTGCTTGTTTTTATTGAGTCCTGAGTCCTTTGGAGATAGGGCGGCATACAAGTTTCAATAATAAATAAATAAATAAATAAATTTGCCTCACTCACACATGCACAAGCACACTTCCTCTAAAATGGCCATGAGAAGGACTTAAGAAACTTTTGCTTCAGTTGCATGTGTATCTCAATTCAGTAAATAGTTGAATGCATTCAATACACTTCCTCAAAAGGGGCATCCGTTACATGTCTCCTTTTAAGCAACTGCTGGTTGGGGTGAATCAGATTGAGATGGATTCAATGCACTCACTTGGACCTCTCCTGGCTGATACTCAGATTCTTAATATCATTTTAAAAGCAGGTCTAGAACTGTATCAGATCTTATGTGTTGAATGAAATGGATTCTAATCTGCCTTTCTTTTGATTACTATTTTATGAGTCTTTGGCTCATAATCTTTTCAAGCTTCACTATCGAGAGAAATTATTCAGTGCATACTGTTACTCTTCTTCAGTAATATTTGTGTATTAAACATTTTCTCTGACTGACTAGAATATTTTAAGATATGGAATTATTTTTATTGTTGGTTGGAAAAGAGATACAAATGATTAATTTTATAATTATGTATAAAAACTTGATGATTAGAATATGATTATAGGAATGAATTGTCATAGGGGTTTGGATGAAGATCAAGATAGAAGAAACTTTTGGAAGAAGAAGAAATAAAAAGAAGTGAAGAAGATAACATCGAGATGTCACAGGGGAGGGATGATAGATGTACTAAATGTTTGTATGTCTTAAAAAATAAAAAATAAAATTAAAAAAATCATGTTTTGCATGTCCAATCTGAACAATTTGATTAAAACATTATTAAGATACTAAATAGAATCTCTCAGAAAAACCTCTGAAAATAATATGTTCTGGATTTTAAAATATTCGTATGAGGAAATATAATAGAAATGAATTATGGCACATCATTCCTGTTCTGAAGCTTAATTTATATCTTGGCATGGGCTGAATTGCCTGGACTTGGGCTGAAATGCCATCCATAAGTTCACCGTTAAGAGCAAACATAATTCTGAGAATATTTTCTTTTCTTGAATCATTTTTCTCTTTTTTCCTCTTTATTTTGTTTCTTCATTCCACATTTGTATTAATTCTCTATTCTGCCCCTTAGGGCTATCCCTGAAAAACAGGAAATGCATCACTTTGCTTAACCAATCTTCGGAAGGAAGCAGGACCTTTTCTGTAGCAGCTTCCTTATTATGGAGCTCTCTCCCCAATGTGATTGGGCTAGTTTCCTCTTTTCATCCTATAAATGGCTGGGGAAGACATTGTTGTTCATTTGATCTTTAATAGTATATTTACTTTTGTACTGTATTAGTATGCCACCCATTCCCAAAGGCTCTGTAATAGTTAATTGCACTTTATGACTTGATTACTAGGCCCTAGTTTTAATGTGCAAAAACATTTGTAAACTATATGTACATATATTGTTTATATTGTTCTTCATGTTACTATTGTCCAGAGTGTCTACTGTGCAATAGAATAATGCATAAAGATTCCAATAAATAGGATTCTTGGAAGATGACTTCCTAGTGGCTCTTTTCCTTTTAACTGCCAGTTGCATCCAACTGCAATACGAAAACAGAAGATATAGCTGATATGTACTGTCTTCCTGTGTTTGCTTCCATTAGAAAAGGAATGAGGTACTTCTTCTTGTTGTTGTTGTGGTGCCATATCCGTCACCGGACGTTGGCGATCATGTTTCGATCCTGTTTTTATCAACAGCCATACGAAAAAGTGCTGCTGAGTTTTGAGTTTTAATGAGGTGCATTAGACAGGAAATAAACTCTCATAAATGTGTACTATTTGGCACTCAACTCCATTTGGGGAGGTTATATATTTTGACCGAAACTGAAATGGACTAATAGTGCTTAATATCTTTCACAAAGAAGGAAATCTTTCCTGGAAACCTTTTTAAAAGTTATTAATGCTTCCCGATGAACAAATGCCACTTTGCATGTTTTAATCTATTATTCTTTATTTCTTTTATTTCTTTATTTCCCATATTCTAGGATGAGGGTTAAAGACATTGTGTGTACTAACTAAACACAAATTAAGCCCCTCAAGTACATTATTTCCCTTTAATTTGTCCATTTTTTGAAGAAAAAAAATCTCAATGTTTTTTTTATCCCCAGTTGCCTCATGATGCCAAAGTACCATTGAACTACACAGAAATGATAAAAAGGTTCCATTTTAAGATTCCTCCCTTCCTATTCATTTATAATCAGTCCTTCCAAGAAAATGTCTCAGACTAACATTTTGGTGAGAAAAGGCTTATATTGTCCATTTTGCCAAAAGCTCTCAATTAATTTTGGATGCAATCAACAATAGTAAAACAAGCAAAATTATCATTGCAAAATATAAAAACAAGGAAACAAGAAAATTACATGTATGGTAACAAAGAAAATAATTGAAAAGGAAAACACTGTTTAAAAGGAATCACTGTTTTTTGATAAAGAACTAGTGTAATGAAAGAATCTTGTCAACCTGCCAATTAGAAAAAAAGAAAGATCTTTCTTTACACATATTAGTCCAAATAGGTAAAAATGACATCTTACTGTTGGCGATTCCCAACTGATCACATTTTATTGACTTTGACATTACTACCTACAAATAGGCCCTACAGCAAATTTTTATAGCGTTTCTCCATGTATAAAAATAAATGCTCTTGTTCAGGGGTATGCCCCCATTTTCAAGGATTCCAGCGTAGGAGACTTGGATTGGAAGGGGAGGGGCTGAAAAGGGTATGGTTTAAATGTATAAGTTGTCCCTTCCTAAGTTAAAATTTTCAATTGCCAACTAAGGATATTGCATGGAAAAAAAGAAAAAAGGGTCAATTATTTTTACTAAAATTTCTCTACTTAGCAGTGGAAGGAGGGGTATTTTTTCCATTTCTGATGCCAAATGCCTTCTTGGTCCTCAGTAAGGAAGCCAACCACAGAAATATTCACCTGAAAAAGCTGATAAATGCTCAGAACAGATAAAGTAGAAGGAAACTTTGAGTAGCCCAAGTAAACAATAGCAGGCAAATGAGAGACCAGCAGAAAAGACACAGCTTTTAAACAAAAGGTTAACGGCCTGACATATTTGCACCGGGGAAAAAAATGTCATTGTTGATTATTTGTTTAAATTGGGTTTTATTCGTTTATAAAATATACATATACCATGAGTGGCTTCCCATTAAAAAGTCCCCCAATGGCTTATAAAAATACAAGTTTCGACACAAAAAAATAACAACCACATTCACAGCCCAAAAGAAGAGAAACTAAACCAAAAAAAGACGCAGGGAGAAATCCCCGGCAAAGTAAAAACGTATAAACTTTTATTAAAAAGTGGGGTGGGGGGAATGATGTACAACATAACCAAATATCTTCGGATCGCTACGACCCACCCATCCACCCCGTACACTTTTTGTTTCCAGCAGAATCGCCGGCTTTGGGGTTTTAAACGCTTTCGGGTGGAACGCAGAGGCTGCCCAAAGAGGACGCCCTGCATTTTATTTCAGGGTGTTGTGTTGTTTCGGTGCAAATAGGGTGCTCTGGGGTGGAGATTCCGGTCAGCCTTCCCAGAAGTATAAAAGGCCCCCCTCTTGTCAGTCGCAGACTCCCCAAAGGGCGCGCGAACCCCAAACTCTCCTCCTCCTCCACCTCCTTCCCGAGGTCGCAGGCCGAGCGCAAGAACCCCAGACGGACGGACCGACGGGCGGAGATATGCAGATCAGCTGGGCGCTGATAGGTGATTCCCGGGCTCTCCTCCGTTTCGGCTCGGCCCCTCTGGGCAGCGTTTTATAAACAGGCGGCTCTCCCGCAAGGCACAACAGAGTCCAAGCGGGCAGCTGTGGCTCGGAGGAGAGAGGCGGCTAGCGTCTGACGAGGGCGGTGGGCTCTTCGCTGGGCCCCTTTTTTTCTCTCGGGGCCGTTCTTGGCCTCTGCCTGGGCATAAGGCCATTCCTTTCCAACTTCAGCTACAGTGATAGCTAAGTTTGGAAAGACCAAACAGAGAGAAGCCGCTGCGTCCCCCTGCACCCCTTTTAGCCCCAACCCCACCCTGAATCGCCCCGTGTTTCTGCTTTCTGTATCTCGCTCTCATCTACTTCCACCTCTTTCTCTCTGTTGCTTCTGCGCCTGAAAGGGCTTGACAGCCTCCGCAACTGAGCAAAAAAAAAAAAAAAGAGGAGAGGCGACCCCGGATTGCCATGGCTCGGTCTGCAACAGAACAACAAAACAGCCGAGGCTGTTGCGGTGAGTGTGCGGGAGCCCGATGGGGTGGGCTTTTCAGGGAACGGCAGCAGTGGGAAAGCCGTCGAGGTTGCGTTTTGTGCTGGAAGGGTTAAACGCGCGTGGGCCAAGTGGGCGCGACGCACAGGGAAGGCGCTTTTCCCAGCGGGGATGGGGGGGGAGGCGAGTGGGGCTAATGGGTGGAAGGATGGAGTGGTGGTGGTGGGGGGAACCGGGGAAAGAGGAGGGTGGGGAGGGAAGCACAATTCGAGCATCAAGTGGACTGTCGGGAAGAGAAGGAGGCTTTTCCAGTTGTGCGACTCTCCAGGCGTGAGGGAACCCCACTTCTTTTAGAAACTGGGTTTAAATAATATTGGGCCACCGGAATGTTGCTATAGGAATCCTTTTTGCTCTTGTGATAAAAGAAGATGCTTCAGAGCAAGCCCTGGTGGACTGTTCAATAAGACATGACATTTGTGTCCAGAATGACATTGGTGAGATTAATGTCCTCCTGCACATAGAAAATGATCAGTATGTGTGTTTGTGTGTGTGTGTGTTCGTGTTCGTAGATTTTCACTGGTAGAGGTATGCAAGTTTTGGTGTATTAGGGTCTTTTCCCGTGTAAGATTGAGAGTATCTTGGCCAAGATACTCTCAATCTTACACGGAAAAGGCCCGAATACACCAAAACTTGCATATATACATATATACATACATACATACATACATACATACATACATACATACATACATACACATACACAGAGAGAGAGAGAGAGTTGTCCCAAGGACATAAAAGCAACTGTATAAACTCAATTTTCTGCCAGAAAATATCCCATTTGGGGATGGTAACCGGAGGAAAATGGCCCAAATCATACAACCTGCAGATATTATTATTATTATTATTATTATTATTATTATTATTATTATTATTATTATTAAGATTTATATGCCGCCCTATCTCCAGCCGGACTCAGGGCGGCTCATAACAGTAAAAAACATATAATGAAAAAGTTAAAAGAAATTAAATCCAAATCTCATAATTTAACAGTTAAAAGTGCAATTAAGACTAACAAGTTAAAAATTAAAACCCCATCAGTCCAGGCCAGCCAAACATATATATAGCCCAACAGATAGCCCAACATATATATAGAACTGCAGGTAGATTGTGCTTTCTGCAGGTTGTATGATTTGGGTGTTTTTTTCCTCCACTTACCATGCCCAAATGGGATATTTTGTGCCAGAAAATTAAGTTTATACAGTTGCTTTTATGTCTTTGGGACAACTTTCTACATTAAAATACCGGTAAGTGAATCCAGTTATCCCTTGTATATTTGATTGGAGAGTGGCCCTTCCAAATGTACAGCACCTAGAAATAAAAACATATTCGTGATGAAGGATATAGGGACATGGAATGGGAGTAATGGAGATGATCAGAACCCCATAATATGTTGCTGGCAAAAGGTATTATAAGGCACTTTAAAAACTTACTATTAAAGGATGGCAAGTATTTCTTGAAATATATTAATGGGTAACTGTCAAGCTACCTTAGTAGTAGAAGTAAAATTTGAATTAATCTAATTCAAATTAATTCTTTAAAAGAAGATTCTGAACAATGATGGTAATAACAAACACTTGCAGTCAGTAATTTACCAGGCATCAACCTGTGTTCATTACAGTGTTTTGTTTTTTCCATCCTAGAATCCTGTATTAACTATTTGACATCTGCAAAAGTCCTCCTGTACTTTGGACATGCCCTGTCCACTTGGGTAAGTGAAATAAAACCACAGGAATTTGCATTTGATTTGAGGGTAATTAATATGTATTACAATTACTTGGATACATATGCATTTATATTACTATATTATATTTAGCAAAAATACATCTGTTAAATTATGCTCTGGTGTAAATTGTGAAATCACTCCTACAGTCAGTAATATTACAATTAGGACTAGATTTTGGACTTTTTAATTTATGGATAAAACACATGATTCACTGATTTTAAAGAATCTCATACAGTTGTTGAATGGTAGGTCCAGATGCAGCCATACTTAAGGGTAGATCTTTTGAAATTGGTGGACCTTAACTTGATAATTTATGAATTTGTTCCCTTGGTTTTAATATATCTACTTAAAAAGTCATTCGCTGGTCTCAACCTACTAAGTACAAAATAAATTGAACTTTGCATCTGATTTGAGGCATTTTTATTCTCTTTGACACGTTTCCATTTTTTCAGGCAATGCTTGCAACACAATCATCAATGGATTTAACTCTCTTAGTAATTTTTAATATTCTGTGGGTAAGAAGTTTGAGGTTTTGCATTGCAAATAGAAACTACTTGTAGAAATTAATTGTTCAAGAAGTTGGATTTGCATCACATTTTTGAGGAAGCAAAACTTTTTTAAAAAGCAGATAGAGTACATTGCATTTCCGAGCAACAGTTTAAAACAAGCAGTTGGTAATTTTTATGTTAGCTTAGTAACTGATTTTTAAGAGTTACGTTGATTATTATGAATTGTGACCTATTAATGTTTAATGCTAAATCTTATAAACTTCAGAATTTTAGAAGAGGGTTTGGTTTTCACTTATATTAAATATTCACTTATTGCATCTTTTCCTGCATTGTTCTACATTTGAATAAAAAGTTGTTTATTTTTCACTGCAGTAGTAAGAGAGCTTACGTGAAAAATATCTGATTGGCAACAATGTTGGACTTAAGAAAAAAAATAATTACTCAATCTATTTTTACTTGCTTTTCTAGTTAAAAATACTCAAGTAAATTAGAAACAACAAACAACATTCAAAATATATCCTATATTTAAAATTATGATTAAAAGTATGTATGAGAAAGAGATAGAAATAGTATTGGGTTGATGAACCTGACACCTACATTTTGATTTAAATCTGACTTGGTTGTAAAGTGACTAATTATTGTAAGAACTTAATATAAAAGCATTGTATATAGTGTGACTGGTCAGCTCTTTGTCGTGGATAGCAACTCTTAAATTTTAAAATTTAAAATCATGGCCATCCTCATTAAAATATCCAAAAGATGTCTATCATTTTATCATTATCATAATAATGTGTTTGATATGATAATCACTTTTCCAGTTGTTAAAATTAACAATAACCATAACAATAGCATATTTGATTGTCCCTTGATTTAATGAATTATATGACTAGTACTATGATCCAATAAGGAATTAAGCATTATTTATTTCATTGTATTGTCTTTGGAAATTTAGAATTATGGCATAATTTGAAATGGCTATGTAATTTGTATACCAGAATATATTTATAAAAATTTCTGCTTAATTCATTAATGATCGCTTACACTCATTCATGATAATATTGTCTGCCTAAATCATTTTTTTCTTTAAGTGGAAAGCAAACAGCCAAATACAATAATATTGAATGACTAAATCATTTTTTTCTTTCTTAAGTAGAAAGAAACAGGCAAATAAATACTTGTGTAAAGTATCAAGAAGTTTAGAAATACTGCAATTTCAGTAAATATCAATATTGCTGATTTAGCTATTAAGTTATTTATTAATTAGAAAGTAAGAAACTCATGCTAGAACTTCAACAATAGCAAGCTTACATATTGAGTTAAAAACTGTAGCTTCTACTTCATGGCAAAGTCAAAAGTAATTACATTTTCAAAGCCCAATGAATCTGCTTCCTTATTAGACCAGTGGTAACTTCATTAAATTGTGGTCAGTTTATACCTTATGCAAAAGCAAACCAGGAATTAAAAAGTACATTCCAAAGAGTTGATATTAACCATGATTTCTTAACAAACTTACCTCATCAACCCATATACAATATTTATATTTGCCAGTGTAAACTGAAATACCTTTAGGAGTGCACATAAAATAGATTGGGCCAATTTCATATACTTTATAACACTTGGGTGGATTCTTAATGAGGAACTTACAGTGCAAACACACCTTGCCTTATTCTGAAAAGTTTATAAGAGGCCAAGTGAAGGGTATTTGTAACCTTGTGTTTCCTCAATGCTAGTTTTTTTCTCTTCCTCTAAGAATCTGACTTATAAGAAAACCCAAACATAAAAGTTGACAAAACAACTGGCACCACCCCAAGTTGTTCTGTGAGTGAGATGGGCAATCTTTAAGTTCAAGAAATAAATAAATAAAAATTCTTGCCAGCCTAGACATTAAGAGATGGTGCATTTTATCAGTGAGACAGGATGCAAGTCTTAAGAGAGTCTTTTCCAAGATGATAGGTTCCAGATATTTTGAGATTCACAATTTCCAGTGGACATGCAATCCAAAAATATTAATGTTATAATTGTAGGTTTGGTTGAAGGTTGTTTATTTGTTTGTTTTCAGTGCAGAGAAAGTTTACAATACAGCAAATATAAAAACAGTAAATGTAAATAACAAAAATTATATAAGAACCTTCTCTCTCACACTGAAAGTTTGTCAGACATAAGTAGATTTATTGTGAAAAAATGAAAGGAAAATAAGGTGTTCCTTAGCAAAGTACCACTACTAAAAAAAACCACCTCCAGCCCCTCCTTCAATTTGTATGTATATCATTGATGATACTAGCAATGGCCTCCCCGTGTAGATGTTGATATTAATTAGTGTAATATATTAATATATGTATGTATGTGTATGTATGTATATGTATGTATGTATGTATGTATGTATGTAAATGGCAAGATAAAAAAATCTAACATATAAATAAAAGTATGAATCTTTAGACTGTGATATAAACCCTATAAACACTATACTATAGTGGCAGAATAGTCCAAGTATCCTGTTCTCAAGATTCTGTAACCTATCCCTATTTTCCTTTTAATGAATCTAATTACTAAGACTGTTGAGAATCTAGCCATTTTGGATAAGAAAGACTGCTAGAGACTTGAAAATGTAATATATACATATTTAGGTGATATAGCAGTATGTTTTGCTATTTTATTGATGTTTATTTTGAATGTTGTGTATCACCTTGCAATCTGCCCAAAGTTTTCTAATTATTTGCAGATTTAAAAAGTGATGAATAATTAAACATATTGTATTCATTCTAGGGGGATCGTATGTGGCATTTTGCAGTGTCTGTCTTCCTGGTTGAATTATATGGAAACAGTTTGCTCCTAACTGCTGTTTATGGATTGGTTGTGGCAGGATCAGTTCTTCTTCTAGGTGCCATTATTGGAGACTGGGTAGACAAGAATTCAAGGCTCAAAGGTTAGTAGTGTCATACAATATTGAAGACTATTTGCATATAATAAGGGAAATCTAAATCACAAAAAAGCATGGAATTTGCTGAAACAATTGTGTCAGTGCCAAGTGTGCCCATTTGGCTAGTTGCACCTAATTAAGCTTGAAAAACTTTACCAGACTTACTGACCATCCTAAAATAGAATGCTCAGCTGCATAGCCAAAGATTTCCCTACGGTTTCAAAGATAGTTGATTTTGGAAGGCTCTGAAAAGTCTACAGAAAAGCCATTTACATGGAAAACCACATGAAAGCCATGGACTAGACTGATAGATTAAACAAACCCCCCCAAAAAAGGTGGTAAACCATTTTTGTATTGCTGCCAAGAAAAATGAATGATCATCTTCATCAAGCACCAGATATCAAGCTTGATTTAAAAGAGACTTTTCTCTCTAATGCAAAATTAAAGGTTTACATCCCAACTTAAAAAAAAAATACTAGTTCTATTGACATTAATGTAAAGAACAAGTGTCTCATTCAGAATGGCTATGCAAATAACAAATAGACTGCCCAGTCATATCTGTGTTTACCTATTCTTCAAAAATTGCAGGCTTCACTGGGACTTACTCCATAATGAGGCATGACTCGGTAGGATCTGCGACTACTTTAGAATAGTAATTTGAACTGTTTATTAAAAATGCACAGTAGGGACGCTACCTCATACTTCCGTGGCTTCTGTAATTATGTTATGTACTCTTCAAAATTAATATGTTTATGTTATTAATACAACTTAAATCTTGTCTTATTTGGCTAAATACTTCACAAATAATTATCTAGCCTAAGCAAAGCTAATTTTGAATAATTAATGTCCATTAGATGTAAACATCAACTACTCAAGCTGGGTGTTTCCTCCTTGGTAATAGCGTTAGCAATTTGAAAGTGATGCTTTCACACCAGGAAGGAACCGTCCATGGTCTAGTGCTGTTTAAGCACTAATGCAGAGATGAATGTCTCACACTCTTTTACTTGTTAAGTCCATATTTAGGACATTGCCGTAAAAATGTTGCCTTGAAAATAGGTGTAAACATCTTGATGTAATAATAGGCTGAAATGTTTCCTATTTTAAGTATTGACATTATGCACCCTTTCCCTTTCTTTTCTCCTAAACAGTAGCCCAGACGTCCTTAATTGTGCAGAATGCATCAGTCATTTTGTGTGGCATCCTTCTGATGATCGTCTTCCTGTTTAAAGCACAGCTTATAAATTTGTATCAAGGATGGCTTCTTGTAAGTGCACAGAACTTAAAAGCATTTATAAGCATATACAAAGTACTTTGCTATTAACTGTTCTCTGAAAAATACATTCACGTTTTGTAGTCAGCTTCAAGCTTTAGGTAGATGTCTATGGAGATTCTCAGTCATCCAGGTCATGGTTGCCCCAAAGGTGCTTTTTGAAGAGGCAACTGGACTTTCTGGTTTTTCTTTGTAGGCGTTTTGCTTCTCATCCAGAACTGGAGAAGCTTCTTGGATGAGAAGCAAAATGTCTTCAAAGAAAAACCAGGAAGTCCAGTTGCCTCTTCAAAAAGCACTTTTGGGACAACCTTTAGGTAGGTTTTTAATCAGCTTTAAGCTTTAGTGTGTTTTAATTGTCAACACTTATACAGTCAATTACATTTACACTAGATCAGTTTGCCTTTACAATTTAACATTAGTACAACGTGAGTACCAATAGCAAAGAACTGATTGCAAATGTAGATATACTGATTCTTAAAAAGAGTGAGAGATCCGGACTGCAAAAACTTCAGACAGCTACAATGTTTTATATTAGGGTATCTAGTGGTCATTTTTGCAGCCAGCCTGATATCCTTAAGCAGAGGGATTATATCAAGCTATGCTATGTCTTATTATAACTGCTGTTTGCTGACTAAGCCACATTGGCTTATTTTACATATTACATTAAGCTATATAGTATACCATAGTTTATAAATCACAGTTAGCTGTATCTAAAAAGTATCTTCACTAGGTTCACTATAGAATCTCATTCAGAAAGGTCTTTAGAACATCCTGGAGATGGTTTTGGAGAGGACTTTGGGGCTATGGGTTAAGGGAAGAGTAAGGAGATCAGTTTATGTCTGCTCCCTATGTGGCCAAATATCTTGAGATGTAAAATTCATGCAAAACGCAGCAGTTCAGGAGGGAAAGTTGATTTAAGTAGTGGGAGGAAGGCCTGTACTTTCTTACCTTTTCCATAAATAAGTTCTTTCCATTTCCACAGACCTTGTGCTATATTCTAGTCATCTCAATAGCAAACATTGCGAATTTGGCCAGTACAGCCACAGCAATCACCATACAGAGAGACTGGGTTGTTGTTGTTGCTGGTGACAATAGAAGCAAATTAGCAGGTAAGGTATATTTGTTTACCTTATTTCATTCTGGGTGACTGGCTTAAAAGAACAATTGAATTCCACACATTTTGCTGGATTGCAGCAAGAGAACATGAATTTAGATTTCTTTTCCAGATCTTTTTTTTTTCTAGTTGTTTGGATAAAGCAACAGATCAGAGAATTATATAATTTGTATGAATAAGTAGTCTTTATAGTTTCATCAAGATTTAGCAAACAAATTGTAATACTCCTTAAAATACTACTTTATCACTTTTTTTGCAAAACAATATTGTTTCCATTGTTCATCAGTCAAATCAATTTATGTAGATACCTACTCAATATGCAACTCCGGATGGCATACGCAGTTAAAAACAACAAATACTCATTATCATCCAAAGAATAAAATATAAATTGCATTGTGCCAGAAGCAGCTTCAACAATTAATCAAGATTGGCTCACAAACTCTCCTTACTTTGTGCCTGGTGGAGAAACCCAATCACCAGAGCCTTTCAGAAGGGGGGCAGAATTGGGGCCATATGGATTTTGGGAGGAATGCTGTTCCATGGGGCAGGCATAGAGACATAAAGGCACATCTCCTAGCCCCACCAGATGACCATGCTTAAATGATGGAACTTGGAGCATGCTGACTCAGTCAGCAGGCAGAGGTATTTGGAGGCAGGCAATTCTACAAATAACTAAGCCCATTCTATTTGTACCAAATAAGATACCTTAATGTCGCTTCTTTTATGGAAAGAAGGGTAGCCTGTGATGCAAACTAACAACAGCAGCCTTAGATTTTAGTCCTAAGCATTCTTTATTCGGGTAACTGAATAAAGACTCAAATAGAAATAATATGCTTCAAATTACGCCACAGATTTTGTTAGTTGAAACTAAAAATGACCCTCAGATATACAATGAATTGCAACTAATTGTTATATAGCATGATGCCAAATTCTTTATGCTCTATATTTTTATTTTATGTACCATTTTACATCATAGGTAGATAGTGAAATGTTGCTGTGCTCTAAAAAATTTTCTAATTTACATATGTAACAGGAATGGTTAGATTAGAAGTAACCAATCGACTACTGAGACAAGGGGAAATTGTGCTTTTTTCCTTCTGTAATAGTCTGTTTTTTTTCTATTTGTAGTCAACCCAAAATGTTGAATGATGGGAATGTTGAATGGTGGATAAAAGGATATGCTTTTTATGCAATACTAGTTAAATGCTAGAATTTGATGAAACACAATGTGACAATAATATATAAAAGATTAATTATCTGGTTTAGGTTTAGTGTGAGTAAGAAGACTTCAAGATAGGCATAATATCTTTGCATCCAGTGATACTTGTTTAGAATAAATATTATTCTTTTGTGAATGAATACACACAATTTGCTTTTTTATATGTGATACTTATTTAACATACTTTATATAGCCTTCTAGAAAGGTTTATGAAACAATATAAATATTGTATTCGTACTAAGCCAAATATGTATGCAACCAGATTTTAAAAGTTAAAAGCAAGTGTAAAATTAGACAAAAACGCAGGGAAGAGTCGAAATAATGCCAGGGTTTAAGAAAAGATTAAAATTATAATTACAAAGCCTAAGAAATAGTATTCCTTTTTCTTCAGTAATTGTTTTATTGCAGTAGAACTTGTGAATAATACATTATGAAATACATATATTAACTGGAGATAGTGGTATAAGGTAGAAATTGTTCATAATAGCTCAGATAATTTGAAACTTTAAAGATGAGAAAAAAGTTTATTTCAGGGTTATAAGTTCTAAAATATTGATAAATATAAGATTGTTTAAGTTGTACAATTAAAAATGAGTGTAACATTGATAGACAATTGCAAAATAAATGAAAGTATAATATAAAAAAGGTTTCTATCTTTATCTTAATGCTAAATACTCAGGTCTCCATTGTATTATTGTTGAGATTATTTATAAATGTTAACACTGAAAAACAGAATAAAGAGGAGACGAAGCTGCTTGGTAAAGTAAGCAGTTCTTCAGTCGGCCTCATAAAAACCACCATAGCTCAGGAACCAGAAAGCCACTTCTGAAACTGCCTTTCATTGTGTAGATTTGGCACAGAAAAGAGAGTTATTTTTGTGACATTGTGCATTGGCTTATAGATATGAATGCTACCATACGAAGGATTGATCAGCTGACCAACATCTTGGCTCCTATGGCCGTGGGACAAATAATGACCTTTGGATCACCAGTGATAGGGTGTGGGTTCATTTCTGGCTGGAACATGATCTCCATGTGTATAGAATATACACTGCTCTACAAAGTGTACAAGAAGACGCCTGCTTTGGCTCACAAAACTGGTTCAAAGGGTGAAGAGTCAGAACTGAAGCAGCTCAATGTACAGAAAGGTAACAGGATTTCAGAAGTTATCTTTGATCAAATATCAATGAGTGCATGCTCTTCTGCATACTTCCTTGTCATTTTAACTTCGACGGAGTTCATTGTTCCTTCTGTTTCCTTCTGATTCTTTATATAGTAGACTTTTAAAAATCCATTCTAAGATTTGGAAAAGCCAGTAAGGCAGTGGCACTCCTGCTGCTGAAGCACTCGACACTAAGGGTTGATTTGACATACCCAAAGCCCTAAGTCAGAAGAGCAGAAATGAGGAAAGAGAAGCATTTGGTGCTTTCCTATATTCTTCTTTCTAATGGAGTGGGGGGTGGGGACATGGGAAATCTTTCCTGCTATGCTGCGAGAACCAGTTTTGACCTGTCAGTCAAAATTGTTTACAACCTGCTCTGACTGAGGACAGAGCTCTAAAGTTTCTTGCTAAGAGCATGTCTGTTGTTCATGGGTGCAAATTTGTTTGCTTGAATGGGCGATCCTTAATCTGCTGCCTCTTTCTGCAGATGGTGAATCGAAGGGCACCGAAGGAGTCCAGTTAATTCACAAGAAAGAGACCGCTGTTTCTGAGCCTGAACAGGAAAATACTAGCTGCCTTTCTCGCATGGCCGAACCGTTCAGTACATTCCGTGATGGATGGGTTTCCTACTATAACCAGTCAGTGTTCCTTGCAGGTCTGGCCCTGGCATTCCTTTACATGACCGTCCTTGGGTTTGACTGCATTACTACTGGCTATGCATACACTCAGGGATTGAGTGGCTCCACTTTAAGCTTATTAATGGGGGCCTCTGCCTTAACTGGAATCCTGGGAACAATAGCCTTCACTTGGCTTCGTAACAAATGTGGGTTAATCCGCACAGGCATCATCTCTGGAATAGCCCAGCTGTCTTCTCTTGTTTTGTGTGTGATCTCAGTGTTCACACCAGGAAGTCCTTTGGATCTCACGGTTTCCCCGTTCGCTGACATCAGTGCTAGGTTGTTTGAAAGCAATCCATTACCCACCCTGGCGCCTGATGGCGATCTCCTTGAAATGGCTTTTACCACTGAAATGCCTGCTTTGATCAATGCAACGTCTTCTGATCCAGGATTAGCTCCCAGCCCAGTGTCTCTCATCTCTGTTAGCCTTCTGTTCGCGGGAGTCATTGTAGCAAGAGTTGGTACGTACATTTCTGTATAAAATACTCATGGTACTTCTTTGAATACAGATCTATACTTCTGTTGTAGTTGTGGGACCTGTCATTAAATCATATATTAAGTCTAGATTTTCAAGCTGATCTCTAGATACAGTTGGATTATAATTTATGATGTATTAGATTGCAACTTCTAGAATGTCTAGGCAGCTAAGCATTCTAGGACTTGCTTCCCTTCCCCAACATAATTGAAGTTGTCTTATTCTCATAAACAAATCCAAGATAAGTAAAATGGACTAATAATTATAAATCTCAGTGGTGCAGAAATAGCATCATCACAGTTGCTGGGTATATACAAATGTAGCCTGCATTGCAGGAAAAAACGCAGCAGAAGTGGTTATCTTATTTCCATATCCCAGTCTTTTTCCATCAGAACTATTCTGACTGGAAGACTGGAGCAAAATGCTTCCATTGTATATATTTTCAAAACGGGGTGGCAAGGCTTTGAATTGAGGGAAAAAAATGATTTGTTTGAAGTATAGAGATCTGTGCTTATTTAACTAGTGTTCTTCTGTGTCTCCTGCCCTGCTTCAGCTGGAATTAAATACTCTTTTCTTTTTCCTTTTGTTTGCTTTGTATAGGCCTTTGGTCTTTTGACCTGACAGTCACACAATTGATTCAGGAAAATGTGATAGAGTCCGAAAGAGGTATCATAAATGGCGTCCAGAACTCCATGAATTACCTTCTGGATCTGCTGCATTTCATCATGGTTATACTGGCTCCTAACCCTGAAGCTTTTGGACTGCTAGTAATCATTTCTGTTTCCTTCGTCGCAATGGGTCATATCATGTACTTCCGTTTTGCCCATAAAAGCTTGGGGAGGAATGTCATTCTTTGCTGTACTCCTGAGTTAAAGTCAGTTGCCAATGAGCCTCCAAATCCTGATGAATCCAATGCATAGAGGATTTTGACTCCTCCATGTGTTTTTTTCCGGTCCATGTTGACTGGCATGCTTTATTATGGGTCAGAAGCAGCTGGCACCTAAAAGGGTATTCCTTTCCAGCACCCAAGCCCACAATCTGCCTTGTTTTCCTTTGCCTTTCGGCAGGTAACCAAGTATGGATTTTTACCAGGTGCAAAAGATACACATATTTATTTAAGAGGATATTTCCTCAATAGTTAAAGTTTAATTTAAAAAAAAAAAAGCAGTTGACTAGATGGACATAAGTTTGATTCTTTTCAAATATACAATTACTATTGGTTGGAGTGGGCTGGAGATTAATAAATTAAACAAAATACGCTCTTATATGTAATATGATTAGTGGGTGTTATTGTTTCATACAGCATAGATGTGCAGTTTTTTCTTTTTTAAAAGAAATACTAGATGTGAGGAAAACATACAAATCAACGACAGCAAAGTTTATTGATCTCAAAAAGATCTCAAATGTGCCTTTAAACAAACAAACAAGACCTCTTTTCTGTGAAGTTATTTCTAGTTTAGTTTTGGAGAAACATCTGGGTTATTTTAGTATATTATCTGAATAAGAAATAATGTAAAATAGTATAGAATATGTATGTAGCACTTCATAGGAGGCAATTAACCTAGCGTAGACCGAAGCTATTTATATAATATAGTATAGCATTGTAAAACATAAGGGGGAAATATTTTTGGTTTTATAAATTTTCAGTAACATGCTTACTAAGCCTTGGTTTCATAGTATTAAAGGCCAAATATATGAAGTGAAAGAACTAGGTTTTGTGTGTGTGTTAGTGTGCATCCATGCATTAATGAGTACAAGGGAAAAGAAAGATACAATCTATTTTTTTCAAAATTATTTAAATTATTTAAAGCACCTAAGCTGCAAAATTGCAACCATTTATTGTACAATAGCCCCCTTTAATATCTAGAAGAAATCAAGAATACACCACGAGCAACTTCTTTATATAAAACCCATTTCAAATGACATTGAATTGACAAAAAAAAATAATTTGTTTTCTAGATGAACAATATGAGACAATGTATGAATTTTGTGTGTATGCCTTTCTTATGTATGTCAGTAATTTGGAAAATTAGCTGTGTAACTTGTGAACACATGATTAATAGTTTAATCATGATTAAAGTAAAAGCATGTCCCTGATCATAGATCTATATCTGCAAAAGCAACTTGCATCCAAAAGGAAGCATAGCAGTGTTTGTACTATCGAACAGCTTCTGGGCAGCACTGATGTTGACAACTCCAAATGTATATTGGGGCAAGATTTTGGTGAAGACTGGCAGCGGTGCATGCCTTCTGTTCAGTGACAGGATTAGTGTGGTTCTACTGTGCTAATCAGCAGGCATGGTTTGCATTTAGAAAAAGGGTCAGCATGCAGAGTCCTGCTTCACTTTACACTGGTGAATTAGGGTACATCTGTATAGTTTAAAATGTTTTACAGAGCTAATACCCTTATGCACTCTGGTTGTTTTATACCATAGCTTACTAAAAATACTATTTTAAATAAGTTGCAATTGGTTTGCAATTGGAATGTGTGTGTGAGTGTATTTTTTTTAAAACTTGTTAATGTAAAAGCAAACTGATAATCAGTAGTGAGCGACAATGCCATCTATGTATGAATTGCTTTTGGAGACATTTTATGGTATACAGAAATGAATACAATGCTTTTTACAGTAAGTTTCATGCACTTTTGTGGAAATTGCAGTAACAATGCTACAAGCACTTTGCTTTAAAATAGAGTTGAATCCTCTTACTCTACTCCGGAGTTTTTCTAAATGTAATTTTCAACTTCTGTTTGTTAAATATTTGTAAAATATTTGTATGCATAAATATAAACTATTTTTCACATTTTTGCCTTTTCTTCATTTGGGTAATATGTTTTGCACACAATATAGTTAATCCCATATCTGAAATTAAGTGGCGATTCACAAAACCTGTGTTTAGAATTTTCTCTAGAACTCTTAAATTGAAACTGAATTTTATACACAAAATTTAATTTAATTTATCAAAATGGAGTTATGATTGCTTCCATTGTAAATTGTAGATAAGTCTTGGATTGATTTGAGAGAATTATAGTAGCAGCTTAAAAGCCAAACAAACAAAAATCCCAAATACTGAACGTTATAATTCATTTTTGCATATATGTCAACTCAATACTGTTTTCAATGTCATTACAAAATTATATTTAGTCCATTTTTAAACTTCCTGGATAAATAACTCAAGAGCATAAATATATAGTTACTTTCTTCATAATAGTTCCACCCATGGATTAAAACATACTTGGATTGGACACCGAATGGCCAATATTTTGCCTTATTAAGAGGGATTGTAATATCCTAGCATTTCTCTGATGATGATCTAGATGAAAATGAGTGGAGAAGAAACATAAGCTGAAAACATAGGATTTGGGAGACATATCTATTTTTATAGCATGTCTACTAAAATTGGCCAACAAGGTATATTTTAAGGAAAATAATAATTAAAAAAACATGACTTATTTATAGAATTTATATCCCACCTTTTTATTTTATACTAGTGGTCTCTGACCTCTGAAAATAAAATTTGTCCAGCAGAAAAGACAACATGAGTTTGACTGGCCTTGGCAAGGAAGCAATAATTTGTATTGACCAAAAAGGACACATGATCTTTCCCACTTCATTTGTAACTTACAAACAAACAAACAAATGGCAGTAGTTGGCATCATGCTGCTTGGACAACTTTGTCTCTCCCTTCTGCAAAATTGTGCCTGAAAATTTGTGAAATTAACACATCTCTCAAGAGCTTACCTGAAACACTGAAATCTCATGTTAGACCTCACAAACCTTTGATATTCACTCCCAGGTTATGGATTGCTGATTTTCTTACCTCCATTGTGCAAAATTGTGCCATGGGACCAGTGGTGGGATTCAAGTAATTTAACAACTGGTTCTCTGCCCTAATGATTTCTTCCAACAACCAGTTTGCCAACTGCTCAAAAAGTTAACAACCGGTTCTCCCGAAGTGGTGAGAACTGGCTGAATCCCACCACTGCATGGGACCTTGAAAAATGTTAACTGATTATTAAGCAAATTCAAGCATTAGGGTGTGAATGAGGTGATACAAATGAATGTGTTAGTTCTGCTTTCCTTTTTAGGTCAAAAAAATTTTTAAAACAAGCTTGACTTCTGCTGACATGGATACTCTTGGCAATTTTTGATTTTCCACTGTCTTCTTCAAGAGAACCACCAATGGCAATGAAGAGCCACTACCTTCATCAAATTAAGAACTTTAAAAAAGTAGGATTTGAAATCATGGGGGGGGTCGTCTATTGCAGACAATTGCCCCACGTATTAGGGTTATGAATATGGAAGAAAGCAAATGAATGCCTTATGCATCCTCCTTGCCTGTAGAGTTCACGTGCCTCTAAAGATACCAGAACAGGGCTAAAAAAATACTTTTAAAAATTCTTGTAAGAACAAAAAACCAGTGTGTTTACTGAAAGGCCACCAAAGGAGGACAAAGTGCATGCTATATGATAATGCTTATCCGAATACTTCAACTTGTTCTACCATAAGTCAATATTTCTTTCTAGTTAATGTTTTCCTTGCTGAATTTTGCAAGAAAGGTACATAACAAAGGGCATAGAGGAGTCCACCTCCAAATATCTCTAATAAAGTACAAGAGACATGACCTCACTTTTAAATGAAAAGAAGTCAAAGGTCTTAGCTGTAATGACAGTGAAGTCTAGGAAACTTTTGCAGTTCATTTCCTGCTTCACCTCCTAAAATTGAATAGTGTGTGGATCCTATATTTTTGTTTCCCCAAGATTTTTTGTCAGACTTGACGTTTGCAATTTGGGGCTGTTTTGGATATCTTAGGTATTTGGGTATCTTAGATGTGGTCTTTTATAATCCCGAATCGCTTGGCTAGCACATTTTTCAAAGGAAATGAGGATTTAGTTCTAAGATACCAAGAGATACCTACATCAATCCCAAAATAACTAAGCAAATTTAGTTAAACTGATAAGATACAGAAAAAATCCACTGTGTAATGATAAAACTGGCAATGAGTCTTGATGCATTTATTTATGGATATGTTAAATGGAATTTGTTGCAACACACTTTGGCCACATATCTATACAGCACAGGTGTCAAACTCGCGGTGTCACGTTGCCATCACGTGATGTTTCGCGATGTTTTTCCTATTCCCAGGGTGGGTGTGGCCTGCACGTGACGCATCCAGCCTGGGGGCTGCCAGTTTGACACCCCTGCTATACAGTATACCACTAGAAATAGATGCTCTTGTTCTGGCCATTAAACATTTTATATTTTATTTTATTAAGGGAGAAAGATAAAATAATATTTTTTTCCTTCAAAACCTTCCTTTGCTATGCTTTGTAAATTTATTGCATTCAGCTTTGGAACGAACTACTAGTCAAATCTTTACTTGCTGTTGCTTGCAGATTTAGGGTAGCAAGTCTGAAAAGACAAGAAATGAAAAGGGTTTCTTTCCCACCAACTTTTTTTCTTTTATGATACAAAGGTAAATGGGAATGAACCGCATTGCTTCATTGCAACCCTATCCTATCAAAACAATGGAGTGATTCCTGAGAAACCTACAAGCCTATGGCAAAATGGCATGGAGAGAAGATCTCTTTCCCATGCTCATTGTCCTATATACTCTCCTAGTGGTGCTATATAAGGCATACTGGAGACAGATCTTGATCATTTCAGCAATTTTATTATTTCTCTCTTGATTTTTACACCCTGTCTATAACTATTGTTTTTCTCTCCTGCTGCTTTTTGAGTATGTTAATGTTTTACTCACTGACCAAATTTTAGGTTTATTTATTTCATTTATTATACCAATTTATATGGCTGCCCAATTCACACACAGGTGACTCCAGACTTACAAGAATGCACAACATAAAAACTCATAAAAAGCCACTCCTTGATTTGATCATTTGCATAGCATTAGTGCAGCTTCAAGAAATGTAAAGAAATTGGTTTTGCGAACACTTAGTGCTAAAAAAAAGGGGGGGGGCGCCTACAATCTTTTATAAGAACTAAGAACATTAGCCATCTGGCATCTCTGTAAAACCATGTTGTTGTTTTTCGATCGAGCAACAGAAACTGGGCTGTGGGCAATGACCCATGCCTATAATGTTTGCTCAGCTGTTAGACTAAAAATGTCAATCGATGTGGGTTTGTAGCACAAAGTGCCCTGCACTCACCTTACCTGAACCAACACACAAGGCTCAGAGATAACTACTGGGATGCAATTTTGGCAAAAGATAGAAATGACAAAAGTATGGTCAGATGTCTTTCTTTCTTTATTTGAGACTGCCCCGTTTTCACTTCCCACTTCCTTTGAAAAGGATTTGAAGCCAATTTACCATTATCTCAATTTTGCAAGGTCTCAGGACCCTGAGAATAGCCATTCCTTTCAGGTACACTGGTCTACAAGCAGAAAGCCTCAGAAATGAAAAGTAGCTTAATTTTATTAGAATTGTGTCACTAATAAAGGAAAATTAAGTCTTGACTATTAATTGGATCCAGTTTCCAAGATACAACTTCAGGTCAAAATTACATCAAAATTATGAGGGGTGTATGTGATTATGCTCCATAACTTTTCTGCAAAATGTGATAAAGCAATGAAAATGGTGCCACACCAATCATTATACATTTATATTTTTATTGATATCAATTACATAACTTTCCATTCATTTATTGGTTTTTCATGTAACATTTTCATGCTTTTTGTATGAAAAACTGACAAGCTCTAACATCAGATTAAAAGACAAGGTTCTATCTTTATTCGGTGTCTAAACTGCGCTTTTTGGCTTTTCTCTTGTGAACTGCAGTAGGATCATCCCTGGGGAGATTCCAGCAGTAATCGGCAAGCATGGATGGACTCCAGTTCTCTTGGTATCTTTTCTCCATGCCTGCGATATCCTGGTGGAATGTCTCCCCATGCATATCACTCACTGCCCCATAGTTCAAAGTGAAATGCTAAAGTCTAAATGCAAGAGTAAGAAGTGAATTTTCAGTGACATGTTTGCACCAAGTGTTTTATAGGACCTAAGCAAATTTTCCATGTGTTTTTCATAGTCATCTGCCTTGCTGTTCTCAAAGTGAAGATAAATTTATACATTTCCGTATGGTACCATTTTCATTGTTCTACCATACTTAGTTGAGAAGTTACGAGACATCATGATCATTAGACACCTCCCTCCTTTGTAGGCAAATATACTCACCTGTATATAAATGTTTATTGTGAAATATCTTTAAAACTTTAGCCAACCAGCACCTTTATCATCTGTTTTCTAATTCATGTAATCAAAATATGTAAAATTAACTCATTTTATCTCAGTGGTTGATAATTTCCCAAAATTTGTAGACCTACAGGTATTTAAAGAATACAAAACACATCCCTGAATCAAGTCCTTATCCCAGATCCTGCCTGCCATGTCTTTACTTTTTATATTCTGTGCCTTGGTGTATCATTTCTGTAAGGTCTTCCCTCTCCTCTTTCCTCAAGAAAGCAGAACTCTTGAAACAGGCATTATTTCAAAAGGAAACTTTTATTGAAAGGAAATAATAGCAAGGAAAGCAAGCAGTGGTGAAATCTAAAATTTGTTACTGTTCTGTGGGCGTGGTTTGGTGGGGTGGTGGTATTGTGACTGGGTGGGCGTGGCCAATTTTTTTTTAACTTTTAAAACCATTTTTCTACAACCTCTTCAGTGAAGAGGTTGATCAGGCAACTCAGCTGGGATCATCAGAGGCATTTAAAAGAAAAAAAGGGTTTTTTTCTTTTAAAAGCCTTTGATGATCCCAGCTGAGCCGTACGATCATCAGAGGCTTTTGTTT